CAAGTGCAGCCTGATACCAAAACCCAAGGTGGTCGGCTAAGGCCTTTGTGAGGGCAGCCATGAAAAAACATTACACGGAGATGAAAAAAGGGTGCAGAGAGATGATGGATGGGGAAACCCAACATGACTCCCTCCATCTCCAGTTTTTAAAATGAGCCTTGTTTACATTTAACCATAACTTAGCTACATATATAGATACTGCCATATCTAGGGCAAGTAGGCAACTGAGTAGACAGACAGTGGTACTTTCCCTTGCCAACTGCTCACTCACTTGGCGACTATGGGTAGGTAGGAAAGTAAGCAGCAGGGAGAAGAGGAGCAGCAGTCGGATACTCCTTGCCAAGCCATGGCCTGCAACAGTTGCCCAGCTATGCCAACTGTTCATACTGACCCTGAATGTTGGGTTTAGCCTGTGTGCCCTTCAGTACATTAAGAGTCCTTCCAGACAGGGGCTTCATATTCTAAGTGGGTCATTCAGATACTGCAAACTGGTCATTGGCAGTTAAAAAGAGAGAGACAGAAAGGGTAGATCTGGATTTAAAAAAGGAGGCTGTGGCATGGCATTTTGCTTTGCTTTGACTGATGGATGCCAGTGGCCAACAAAGGAGGTGTGCACGCATAAGGAGCACCCATCCCACAATAAACACCTGTGTGGAAGCACCCTAAGAAACACACTGTATTTGTATTGTGAACCATAATGCATGGACAACATCTGCAAAGGCCACCATATGCTTGGAAACTGATGTGTGTTCTTTTTTGCTCGTAGGCTCCACATGACTTGGAGTGACTTCATGGTCCATCAAATCCAACATGTCAGAAATTTACTAGGCCTATACTTGCCTTCTTTGATGGATATGCAGTTAGCACTGGCAATTCAGCCTTATTGCACCACTTGCACCATTCTACTTCTTTGACCAGGTGCCATCTACACAGTCAGATGCCATGTCACACCCAGGTGGTTGCTTATGTCCCTTTCACCCATGGTGAGCTTGCAGGCTTCTTCTTTGTGAGGCCTTATAAGCCATCCTTTAATTAGCACAAAATCAGGATAAATTTTCTGCTTGTGCCCTTGAGTCAGGCAGCAAACCTAAGCCGACAAGTAGACAGTTTGGCTTCTTGCAGCTTAGTAGTATCTTTGGAGAGCTTCTGGGCTGCTAAAAGTCTACATTGCTGGAGGGAGACAGAAAGGAGTGTTGATCTACCCTTGCCCCGACCTTGCTCGGAAGCCGGGTGGGGGGCAGCAACAGATGCTGCTAAGTGTGAAGAAGTAGGAGATTCTTAACCTTGTCCTGATGGCTGTGAGCTGAACGAACCAGCTGGGCCAGGCTCTGTCCCAGCCTCCAGTGCTGTTTGCACCATCCCCTGCCCTCCAAATTACAAACACAACACGTTCCAGTAAAGCCCGCCAGAGCATTCCTGACGGAAGGGTATGCCCTTGCCAAGCTATTTAAAGGCATGCATGCTGCCCTTTATTCTTCCAACCGCCTGGACTGGAAAAGACCCGAGTCCTGTGACCAGCACAGAGAAGGCAGGAGGAGGTGGCCACGCAGAGAGGGACCTGAAAGGGCTCCCTTTCCATTCTCCTCCTGCTCCTTCCCCAGCATACTGTCCCTGTTGAGGAAACTGCAAAAAATGTATGCCTTATGTGGTCATCATCTTCTTGACCAAGGGGATCTACAAGATTATCATCAGTGCAGCATGACGACACAGAAATGTTTGTACTGTACACCTAGTGGTGCCAGTATCCTAGGGAGCACTTTGCTAACAGTTTTCCAAATTATGGTCAATGGTGCTGAAAGCTCCGCTCTCCCGTGATGATTTTTAAGGGTTGCTGGCTTGCAACCTGGACACATTTGCTTTATTTCTTATGGTTTGCCCTTCACCAAATGGTCCCAGGATGGGTTACAAAAAAACAACAACCCACAATTAAGATAACTAAGATAAGGGCAAAATGTAAAAAGAGCAGCACAGAACAGCAATATATCAAGGTTGAAAAAAACCCTGCTTAACCAAAGGCCTGGGTAAAGAGGTGCATCTTGGCCAATTATCAGAAAGCATTCGGTGATGGCAGAAGATGCACCTCAAAAGGGAGGCCCTTCCACATTCCATAGGAAATGAATTCTCATGGCCACCTTCTCTCAAAGCACAGCAGGTGGTGACACTATGCACAGACCCTTCCCTGCTGACCTTAACTCAGGCAGGTCTGTGGGAGGAGGAGCTTTCAGACATTTGTGGCCGAGCCATTTTATATGGCTACTTACATAGTGCATTTGATATTCTTGGGCTGTAATCCTACTCCATTAAACACAAAAGGAACCTTTGCATTGCCTTCAATAGGAAGAGAATTGTAACTTGTATTTATTTTCCATCTTCATAACATTCCTGTCAGGTAGGATTCATTTTTATAAATAACACCCTATACATTTTAATCATAAGGTATAGAATGAGCCAACTTCATTTGAAACCCTGTATGATACACACAAGTGGGTGACAGAGTGGAAGAGACAGCTGTTTGTGTGTGTGTGTATGGGACCCGATCACAGATTCCCCAAAATGACAAATGGGCACGATGACTTAAACCCTACACTTGTTATGCAGCCCCTGCCCTGAGACAAACATGAGATTTGAGTCTCACTTACATTTTGGCAGCCCTTGTCCTGTTTGTCAGAATCCTGAAAGGTACACATACCTATGCAAGGGTCCAAGTATCTGCTTGACTTTGGGAGCTGTAGAGTGATCCACAGAACTGGCCAATAATGCTAGATATATCTTGAGTGTCTGCTCACCCTAATGGTAAATGCGATGGCATTTTGCAAGAATAACTCAGCAGAGATGGCAAAATAGTCCTGAACTGAATCTTATTACAGTATAAAGCATCCTAGCCTGATATCATGCATCTGGGAAGGGAGTTATGATGTTACTTATGGCGGAATGTTCTGAACAACAGATTTCCTCTCCTGTCTGTCCCTTCCTTCCTTCTTTTCTTGCATGGCCCAGGGTCACTCTACATATGACTTTGTACTGCACCCTGTTCTGCTGTAGTGATTCAGGGGCAACTGAAGAGGCATGTACACTGCATGCTGATGTCACATCTATTATCAGAAACACCCACCTGTGGCTTTACAGATGCAGCATCCTCCCTCTCTGCTTCTTCCCCACCCTGCTCTCTCACACTACTTATGTTAGTAGTGGCTACTGGCTTTCCCTCATAGCCCCCAGCTCTCCCTTTCAGTGAATTTACATCAGCTTTGTTGCAAGAGGCATTGGTACTACCTAGGGCTTGCAGGTAGATGAAGCACAATATTCTGTTCCCATTTAGACACTGTACAGCTGAAAACCTGCCTTTAAGCTACACTAAGAGGTGGTTCACTAGAAGCAAGTATAAGACTCTCTCAAGAAGTAATAAAATCCTACCTATGGGGAAATGGATAACAAGCAGAAAATTTTGCCTTCTATAAATCAGCACCCAAAGCGTAAGGCAAGCACTCAGTTCTAGGACTGTCTGGCACGTTTTCACTTGACAAATGAGGTAGCTGAGCCATCTGGTGGTGAAACTCTGAACTTGCTGGTACATGGAGCAGGCATGATTACTGGAAGAAACAGTTTTGTAAGCATGGATTCAACACAAGTAATATGAACTCACAATTTAAACACAAAACTCAAAGCCATCTTTGAGTAGAGGAGCAACTCTTTACTTCTTGCAATCAATGCAGTGCAAAACAGCTATTGTAAATATAAAGTGCCTTAAACATAACTGCAGGAGGGAAACAGCCCGTACAAACAGGAATTGGAGCAGGCTCATCGTCTGTCGTTACTGGTGCATCCACCACTTTATTTAGGTGCATCCACAGATTGCAGATGCTGCCACATGTAAGATTCAGACATTTCACGCTCAATTCATATGACTGGGATAGCCCATTAGTGTTGTGATGAGGACCTTACTTCTTCTGCCAAGGTTCACATAAACACAGAATAGCAACTGGAGTTTAAAAAAACCAAGGGAAGCTTTGAGGAGGAAGACCCACGCTTGGCTGCCATCCCACCAACCTCTCACAAAGTGGAGCGACTTCTGCCCGTGCACTGGGATGCGCAGTGCGAACCCAAGGGATCTTCTATTAAGGGTGAGTTACAACATAATGTTTTCCACTTCCTTTGTCCTCCAGCTCACATAAAATGCTGTACATCAAAGAGCAATCCCATGCATTTTTCAAGAGCTACACCTGAAGAGCCTCTGCTAAATTTTTAAACAGCATAAGCTGCATTATCAGCCACACACAGGAGCATTAGTACATCTAAATGTTTCACATAGTCTTGATCGCTCAGGTCAATGAAGACATCAGTTTTCATTGCTGGTGCCAAAAGCGTTCTGAGATGGTCGTGAGGACATGAGTGTGGGAAGGATGAGCATACTCTTTTGGTGGGTGGCATGGAAAGTACATCTATATTTAGGCATACCTGTAGGCCACGGTGATCTCACAGGTATGGCTTCCCTCGCTCCAAGTTCTCCTGCCTATGTTGAAGACACACTCAGTATCCTAGCCTTTGATACTTGAGATATATATTTTAAAGACTCGCCCTATTCTTCTGACTGTATATTGCTTTAACTGATTTTAATCTTGAGAGGGCTTCAGCGCTGCACCAAAGTGATCGTTCCATCAGGACAAGCATTTTGGCTTGCCAGATAGAACAACTCCTCCCCTCTTCTCCCCTTGCACAATGTTCTGGGGGATTCTTCCAGACCCCCCCCCCCCGGGACAATTTTGGGGGGCACATGGGCATGAAGGGAGAGGAGTGGGAGAAAAGCCCATTGCACTAGCAGAAGTCCTTGCACAGGACTTCCACTTTACAGGGCTTGTTAGCTGAATCCCACCCCTTGTATTTCTATATTATAACACACCCTGAGACCTTATGGAGAAGGGCAAGTAAGAAATCATCATCATCATCATCATCATCACTGGCACCAAAGAATGGATGATGATATTCTTATCATTATTCTTAGTTTATTCTTTTCTATGCTTGTGGTAAAACAGCACAGTAGAAATGCACCTGTGGAGCCAATCCAGGATTTCTGCCTGTGTGTTTGCACCACACTGACCTCCCTGCCAGCTCTCTCTCTCCCTCAGTAAGAAACAGACCCACCTGCCCAGGAATCTAGTCTGGCAGCTCTGCCCCATGCAGCAATCTGCATCTGCTCCTTGCGTTATGTTGTTCATAAGCCTGGAGAAGGACCTCAGTTCATGTTTCTTTTTGCCTTCACTTCTCTTTCTGAAGGAAAGCAAACTAAAAAGAATTAAAGAGCTCATATTCATAATGTTTTGTGCGAATCAGACCTTAGGGTCTGGCATCTGACTTCCTCCACAACCCCATAATACTTTGTATTCTCTCCTAGAGGTAGACAACTACTCCACACCCAAAGACAAAAGTTATCTAGAGCATACATGCTTTCTCGCTTGTGACTTTGTTATCTGACTTTGCTCTAGATATTTCTCCTTGCCTATCAGAGGATGGCTACTTAATAAATACATTATGATTCTCTCTCCAGCAAACATATATTGCAGCACCTTTGCCTAGTTTATTAAAGCTGATTTATTATCAGAGATCAGGACTGGGCTTAGCATCTTCAGAGCTGGCAGACCATGCACATCAGTGGAAAACACTGAGCCAGTTTCTTTGGCTGTTTCCCCACTAACGTTGTGTCAAAAGGAGAACATCACTTCAACAAAAGCAAAAAAGGCGCTCAATTGCCCTGTGACACATGATCTCTTTGTTTAGGTGGCCTGCTGATGCCAATTGAGATGGTTATCCTGGAATGAATACATCAGTCTGTTGTCCCTGTAATTTACTTGACACATGTGAACACCCCTTTATCAAGTAAAGCCAGTGATGAGCCTAAGGCTACATCTGTATGAGAACATTCCCTCAAAATACTTGTGGAAGAATCTTATCAGTAGTGTTAGGTTAAGAAAACGCCAATTTCAAAAAATCAGGCCACTATGAGCAGCCACACATCCATATCCAGTCACACCTTTTCAGTATGTGCAGGACATATTGACACTCATGTCAATCCACAGAACTGCTGGTCCCTTGGCCTGCCTCTTTGTTCACTGCATAATATGAAAAGTCTTGTGGAGGAAATGGAAAGGGCAGGTATGTGACAGCACAGCTAACTTCTGAAACTGAGCACCTCCTTATGGCTATGTCTGCGGCGCTGGATATGGCCAAGCAGGTGAGCCCCATCCAGGTGGTTCTGGGATAGGCACCGTCACCAAGTAGCTGGAAGGCACGTAGCCCTTCTGGCCATTCACTTCCACCAGGCTCCACTCTGTGCATCCCTTCTTGTCATGAGGTTCCAACACAGTCACTGGCTCACCTGCTTGCAAGCTGACCTCATGACTGCTCCTGGCTGCGAATGGATAACCAGCAACTACCTGAGGAAAGCACAGAGATTGAATAATAACACTGCATACATATGCCACACAAAGGAGAAGGGAGAAACAAGGGCTGCCCAGCCACAGAGGTAAACTAGGTTACCCCTCTGGGGTGCATGTCTCAGCTGTAAGAATATCATGGAGAGGTAGGCAGGCATATTGAAGTTTATGGCACAGCAGTAGCCAGGTCAGTCTTCCTTGGCCTGGTGCTTTCTGGATGTTGTTGGGCAGCAGCGCTGACTTGGACCCCACACAAGGTTCACCACTGGTTGCTCTGCCTCAGGCAGCAAAATGCCTTGGCCACAAACCATGTAGCTGGGTTATTCTAAGGCTATGCTATTCCAGGTTTCTGTCACACCAGCCGAGATCATCTTTTAAACATAATACCCACATTATATTGGGATGGTTGCACAAGTTTGCATATCTGAAATACAGATGTACCCAACAGTACCGCAAAATTCCTTCCATCCGCCACTGCCCAGCCATGTACACATGTATCTATGCCACAATATGCTGGGAATAAATGAATGAAAAGAATTAAAAGAAGATTCATTGCTGAAATTTTCTACTCACATGTAAAGCCTGTGTCCTGAAATGAAGTGCTGGGCTGGGAGCTTGGGGCAAGTTGTAAGGGTGATGCATCTGTTCACCACTACCACCTGGGACTGACACCTGCATTCTGGGTTTTGGGTTTTGGACTAGATGATATGGCTGGAGTTTCCCAGGTGATACATAACCTCTTGGTCCTGTAGGGCACATAAAACCATTATGGTCAAGCTGAGCAGCAGGGTCCTCTCATCGGGTACAGCAGTTTTCTTTTTGATAATTTGGATTGATGGGTGGACTATAAATACAGTGAAGAGAATGAAAGGGTTTGGCATTATTGGAAAGATTTGTAATGGGCGGGGAGGGAAAAGGCAGGCAGAAAGGCACTGCTCTTGTGTGGGAGAGAGAAAGGATGTGTGGTTTGTACTAGTGGAAGGAAAGAAGAACAGAGTGGTGGGGAGGAATAAGAAACAAGTGCAGGATGTTGACCTCGGGAACAAATTATATAAAGGAAGTCAAAGACAGAGAAAGGTGGAACTTGGAACAAGATGTGAGAAGGGGAGGATTTGGAAGCAATGCGGGGGGGGGGGGGAATAAGTGGTGGAAGGAGTAATTTGGAAAGTACAAAGAAAGATTAATAGAGTGGTAGGAAAACCAGTGCAGGAAGAGGAAGGAGGAAGGGGTGGAGAGAGGAGCAGTATTCAGAAAAAGACACAAAGCAAAAAGGGAAAGGAGGGTTTGGGAAGAAAGGAAAAGGTGTAGATATTCTCTGACCCTGTTCTCAATGAGGCTCAAACAAGGAGCAGGCAGCTTGCAGGCCAGCCACCACCCATCCTCTCCATTCCCCTGAGCTTAATGGGCTTGCCACTAGCAGCTGGCCTGCCACTTTTCAGCTAGTTATCTTTTTTTGTTGTTGTTCTGGCCCAGGCAATTGCAGCAGGGTGTCTGCTGAGACAGGGTTGGCCATGTACTTGCTGCTCTTTCTTTTTCTGCAGTAATGTGTGCACTAGACAATACACATGGAGCCTTCTGGGAGCATCAAGCATGCTTCAGTCCAGCTACCCCACATGTGCCTGAAGACTTTTCCCCCTCCAGTATGTTCAATGGGTCACTGGGCTCCCTTACTTTATATGAGCTGCACCCCTGCGCCTAGGCATCCCATGACCATGAACAGCAGTGTAGCAGTCCATTTAGAAGTGCAGGAGTTCATCATGACAGATGCAATTGTCACACCCTAAGGCAGGGAGATCTGTGTCATAAGTACTGACCTGGTGAGGTCCTTGGTAGCAAATAAAAGGTTTAGGTGTGTAGTTGCAACCCTTACCGTACCTCCACTATCCACCAGCCATCGGTTAGTGTTGCCCTTGGTGTCCCTGTCATGCAAGAGAGCCACAATCTGCCCCCTCTGCAATACCAAGTCCATGTTTTTGCTGCCGCTGGTGTTGCTTGTCACTTGATATAGCTTTTCTGGGCCATGTTTGCTCATGAGCAAATGGACTTTCCTCTCCTCTGCAGGGCTAAGAGGCTGCTGAAAAGACACAGGGAGAAGTGGGTCAGAAACATTTTTCTGCAGTCAACTGTGCGACCACGTTAGTGCACTGGAGGATGAGTCATCATAAGTAGGGTGCAGCCACATCTGAACCAAAATATCTTAGAAGATGATGAAACAAATCCTGCAAATTGAACCAATTCTTTACATTTTACTGCATTGAACAGTGGGTTTGTGCAGATAACCTAACAGGATATATGCTTCCTATGGGGTAGATTTATGTTATTTTTAAGAAAATAAGAGTTAAAATTGCAGCCGGGAAGCACTGAGGAAGCAGACGTTTTGTGGGTTAAAGATGAGCTATACTGTTGCAGAATTTAGCTGTGAATAAAAACTCTGATGGGAAAAGGGGAAGGAAATTATTTGCATTTGCTTCTGTACTCAGAGCTGCACTCCTTCCACAGAGATCCTCTGGGCTGGGGGTGGCTGTGGAATGCTAGTGCTAAGGCCTTTATAAACATTTACTTAAATAAAAATAAATGCACAGTAGTTAATCACAGAATGCAGGGGATACAAACACCTTGCCTGAGAGACAGCCCACAATACATTTTAGTGTGCAAGAGTGAGAAACTATAATGTTCAAACAGACAGTTTGTTTCCCTGTAAGGATATTCTGAAACCTGCTGCCTTTTGCTGCCTGCCTGATCCTGTCCAAGAGTTGGTTCTGTTTCATTTTTGTTTTGGTATTTTGCCTTGGGATTATTGTGGTTCCTGAGTACTGAAATTCCAATATTTTATTAGCATACGGGGGTAGGGTGGGAATCCAGTTACTGCCTGAAACTAGGACATATATAGTGAAGAATAGTCTTATGCAAGTGTCATGGGGACCTGGTGGATAGCAGCAACAACACCACTGGTATGAGTAACTTCCCCCCTCTATGCGCATGCCACATATTAATGTATCAATCAGCCATCGTGTCTGGGGAGTTGTGGGAGAGGCGGGGGAAGAAAGGTTGCAGGAACACCCTCTAACCTTCATCAGTCTCCTACCTCTGCAACAGAGCTTGGCATAACAGTCTCAAATTTCTTGCAGTAGGAGTAGAGCTGAGCTTCAGCCTGGCTTAAAGAGTCCTTCACCATCTTCCCAAAATCAGGTGCAGGGAGGTGTCTGTGTGGCAGCTGTAAAGAAGAACCTTATAATTAATTGGAGATTTTGGGGGGTGGGTGGGGGTGAATTATGGAAAGCAGAGAAAGGTACTTTTTATATTAAAAAAATAAGATAATAACAGAAGATAATGATGAGATTCGTAGCGGATTTTATGTACAAATATAAATTTTGCTAGAGGTTTCTGAAAGCATGCAAAAGATCCATCCTGTTTGCAAGCTAAGTCCATCCTGTTGTGTGCAGCATATGTCTCTGCCAGTGCTTACTTTGCATTTTCCTTGCTCCTTCTTTGTTTACAGTCACTGGAAGAGGGACAGAGATGAATTGCATCCTTTTGTGTGTGGAAGGGATGAGGTTGTGAGAAGGAAGTAATCTCCTATAGCCATTGGGACTGCAAGGCAAGTCCTGCTCTCTGTAGTTGATTTATAAAACGATGTATGGTGCGGAGATGGAGATATATATATAATTTCTCCCTGTCCCAGAAGAATCCAAGAGTGCTGTATCACTCAGTGAAGAAAGCACCTCTTCACACAATGCATCATTAATGTATGATACACTCCTGCCCCCAGAAATGGTAAAGACTCCTGATTTAAATGGCTTTAAAAGAAGATTAGTCAGATTTCTAGAGATTAGGGCTATCCATGGCTATTTCTTGCAAAGGCTATACAGAACCTCCATGTTCAGAAGCAATATACCTCGGAATACCAGTTGCTTGGGTACGAATTGGGGAAGGGCTATTGCCTTCATGACCTGCTTGTGCAGTTTCCTTCTGGGGAATAAATGAGAGTTTCAGTGTGATCCAAAAGAGCTATTGTTCTGTATTTTGATTTATTAAGGTAGTACGTTCTTCTAGTGAATCCAGCAGGGCTTTCTCAATGGTGGGGCCCATGTTATGGAAGAACCTCTCCCAAGCAAGCATCCACACTGCATGTTTTCAGCTGTCTGCAAAAGCACCTTCGCAAGTTGGTTTTCGTGGTTTTGTGAGTTTAACATGTGAAAAAAGGGCACAGACTAGTTAGTTTTATTGCTGGTTTACATTATAGTGCATTGCCTCAAGCACACAGTGGCAAGGCAATGATGTCATATTTGGAGGAATTCAACCTCGCTCTAAGCTGACAGTTCCTTCGGGGCAAGGCTTTTGGCTTGCCAAATGGAAGGATCCCTCCTCTCTTGTCCTCCATGTCCTGTTTCAGGTGTTCTCCCAACCTGCCCTGAGCTACGTTTGCAGGGCAGAGAGACAGGGCAACCCTGCTGCACATGTCCTTGCAGAGAGCATCCGCTAACAGGCTCATTAGCTGAGTCTTGCTCACTGGGTGGTATGCTATTTAAGTTTACTCAGAGAAGACCCATTGAAATTAATAGGCATGACTAAATTAGAAACAATTAACTAAAATATGTTCAACTGTTGCTTGTGGAGCAGGCAGTGGGGCAGCTTACCAGATCTGGGTGAAAAACAGAAGCAGCAAGCACAGATCCTGGCATAGCAGGAAAGGGCGTTGAAAGGCTGGTGGTGTGGGAAAGGATCATATAAGGATCTGAAACTCTGAGTCTTTTAAAATTTGGAGAGTCTCCGAGAGATTGAGAACAAGCCTGTCTTAGTCAGGTGACTCACTGCTTGGGCAGGATTCTAACACTGCTGAAGCACATGTCTCTGGCTGGGCAGGAGGAACAGAATCAGCTCTCCAAAGAAAAGGCATACGGCTTCATGGATATAAATGGAAGATCTCTTTAATAAATATGCTAATAGATGCTAGTGTAATGCTCATTGTTATCAGAAGCAGGGAGGAAGGAAGAGAGAGGGCAGTGGGCACCTGTTAGCCACAGTTAAGCCTATTTCCTCTCTCTATTGAACTGTTTGAGGAGAGGGGAAGCGGCTTTTAGTCTTTCCCCAACAGCCTCGCTGGTAACGTAGCAAATGTCACAGTCCAAACCCGGGGTCCCTTTCTTGGTCACCCATTCATATGACCAAGAGGTAGAGCCTGGGAACCATCTTTAACTGAGATGATAGTTTCACTAAGCACCCTTTCCCACTCCATCCGCCAGTGCATGTATGTCCCTAAGCCTGGGAGGCAATACAGTTATCTGTTGTCTCTAGGCACAAACACCATAACCCCACATCCTCATCCTCCCTTCCAATTTTTTTACCTGGGTAGCCTCCCGTTCTGCCTCTTGGAGAACTTGCTTGGCCAGATCCCTCAGAAGGGCCACAAAAGTACGCAGAATATGCCCCAGCCACTGCCGGGCCACCTGGTTGAACACCGGGAGCTCAGACACAAGCAGCGAATTTATGGCGAGATAGGTATTCATGGCAGCCTCCTCTTCATATGTCACACTGCCTGTCTCGTTCCTCTTCTCCTCAAATTCCTCATAGTCCAGCTGCTTGTCCAAGCGCTTCTTGATCAGTTTTTGAGGCCCTTTCAGAGTCTCTGACAAGTTGACCAGCGGAAGGTACACCAGGTTCTCCAGTCGTCTCCTCTGCAAAGCAAGGAAAATCAAATACAGTTCTGAAATCCTGGCTTCCCCTGACTCAGCAGATGGGAGGCATCGGGGACTGGGGCCCTTTGGGGTTCCGCTAGGGAAGTGCTGAGGAATTCTTGCTCCAAAAGGTCAAGGAACATGCTCTGGGTCCCATCACCAGACTCCACCTTCTCACCTGTTATGCAACATGAACAGCCCAAGCCCAAAGGAACCCAGTTCCTAACAAAGATTTGCGGCATCATTTTACAACAATGAGCAACATGGGTCAGAATACAGTCAAAGGCTATGTATACAGCCAGGTCTCTCCCCACCCCCCCAAATTCAAATTGAAGTTGGAGGGCGGAATGCAGTATTTCATAAGAAGTAACAGGGTAGATATAGAAGAGAGATGGGTTTGTGGTGAATGCTGTGTGCACACTGCTTCCTAAACTAGCAGTGGGGATGCACTGGATTTATAGTAAGCAGGAGTGTGTAAACAGCCAAACTTTCAGTGTTTGTAGAATCAAGGCAGATGTTATAGAGCAGTAGAACATGTGTTCTGGATGATTCAGAGATAAGCAGCCATCAAATTGCTACCAGGAAATGGAAAAGCTCTGAAGCAGCCAGGATGGAGGAAGGTAGATCTGCTACATTCTTCCTCCCTACACCACAACCAGGCTGTAACTAGAAAGAACCAAGACGTTACTTACAAACTCAGCAAAGATAGTGCTGTGGAGTTTTCCTGCAAGCTGGCAATATTGTTGGATAGTCCCTCCTTCTGTTCCTAGTTCGTTCTCATGCGGTTTATAGCTGAGGAACACCTAAGAGACAAAGAAAAGATCCTGATTACATGAAGAAGTGATTAAGATATGTTTTTGCTGCTAGGCAGTGTCGCCAATACTGAACTAGATGGACCAGTATTCTGACCTGGTAGAAAGCAGCTCCCTACGGTCCCAGAGTAGGGAATTAATTTTCAATTAATTGACCCATCTGTATCCTGGTTTTCCAAAACACTGGGTAGCTAACAATGCTATGAGAGAGGAACCATGAGTTATGGCATTCATCCAGTAAAGGAAGATCTGACGTGAGACTTTCTTCAAAATGCACTGGGTGGTCTTTCATCTTCAAGTCCAAACATTCTTCTCCTTTCTGTTTTGGTTACATAACCTGCTTAGAGTATCAGTGAAATATGTGACTGAATGGGGCCATTAGTACCAACAAATCTATTTTAGATGGTGCTCTGAAGTCTCATAACTTATTACTGTGAGACTGATTGTATACCAATAAAAACTTCCGCAGAGTCCCAAAACCATAGAATCTGCAAAGCAGTGAATTGTGATCACAGATCACCACTTTGTGTAACTAACAGCAAAGTCAACATATTTTTAATTTTTCTGATTTCAGCCAGCTCCTACTTCAGAAACGTAACCTACTCAAAGAATGAGTGAAGCAGCCTATTGTGTGGAGCCGTTCACACCAATTCTCAGTGGCAAGTGTGTTTTTAGATGGGCACACTTCTGTTTCCTCTGCATCCAGTGAGCTCCCACTTCTGCTTTGGGAAGTGGTGTACACACAATGTTAACCACAATCCACATCTATTCTGTATCTACCCTTTCATTTTGAATGAAATATTGCATTTTGATGCATTTGCAGAAGAGGGATTTGCATGGGTTAACACAAAGAAGAGTGAGGAACATAAATATTCCCAGACTATCCCTGTACCTTTAACCTGTCAACCTACTTCTTCTCTATCCCCTTGTTTCTTAGACTGATATGTTGCATCCTGTTTACAACTTCCTGCTCCTCCTCACACTCCTCTCTTCGACTTCAAGATAAGAGGGTCATCTTCCTGCTTTCCTCTAAGAGAACAAAGGAGCAGACATGACTGCCCTGTCCTCCTAGGCTAATTAGTTAGGTCAGAACTTGAAACTTTCCCATCCATGTTATGTATTTCCTAAAACAAATAACATTATCATTTTCTCATCTACAAGCATCTCTCTGTGTGTGACTGCAGCAAAGATTCACCACCCAAATGCTGCTCACCACATTCAAAAGGGTTTCAGTAGGCAATTGGGCCCTGCTATCCCAGTGGATCCAAATTGAAAAATGAATGGCCTAGCTGCACTTTAAGATGGCAATGTGTACACAGCCATTGTGCTCCAAAGTACCCCTATGGGATAGATCTGGTGTGGGGATGTATCTGTCCTAAGGAAAATAGAGTCTTGTGAAAGAAAGCATCAGAATCAGTTATGAGAATAAAGAAAGTGGGAGGATTTTCTGGTCACTCTGGGCTCATCCATACTTCCTCTTGTCCTGCAACTTTCCCCTGGAGAAAACTGCTCTTTAGAGCTCAATCGGAGCAAATGGCAATTTGGGTTTTCTGTGGATTGCTATTTGCTCCCAATTACAGCTAAAGAGCGGATTCTCCCTGGGAAAGGAGTGGGGCAAGGGAAAAAATGTTTGGACCCATGCTTTCCAGGCATGGGACAAGTGGAAGTGTGTTTAAGCCCTCTGTCTAACCTCTTTCAAGAAGTGCATTCTGAACTCCGTAATGTTGAGACTGTGCTTGAGGGTGAAGTCTGGGCTCTTTGTTTGTGGCCAAGGACTGATACTTGCAGATGTATGAGGAAGAGAAAAGCAGAGCAATTTAAAAGCTGTTGTCAACCTGCCAAACAATGCATTTGGAGGTCAGGCTGTTTCCGCCCTTGGTTCATATAATCCCGGGAGTTTATTCACACCTCCAACAGGATCTCCCCCAGGGCATGGAGCCTGAGTATGTTTGACATGCTGAATCTCAAGAGCAGGGGATTGCAGCATGTGCCAAGCACTGTTAGCTTTGAGGACACTGTTTCTGATTCATTTTCTTGTTAGCAAAACACCAGAGCAGACTGGGCATGAAGCAATAATACTACAATGAAAGGTTAAACTGTGAAACAGGCCATCTCTCAGGCTCAGCGGAAGAAAGATTGATGTGTTTCCTAAGGTTTGGTTCCCTATCTGCTTTCAAAATCTATACTGGTGGAAACTATCTCAATTCCTGCAGGAAGATTACAGCTTCCCTCCCAGAAGAGCATTTATTCATACTTACTCCTTTCCTTTCAATTACCTGTTAATATACCGGAGGAATTGTGGATGAGCATCCCATCCGCAGATATGAACCTGAAATGCACAGATGGCAAGGAAGACCCCAAAGATGTAGCCAGGTGTTTATGTCAGACTAGCATCTGAAAATGTTCTCCAATGTAAAGATGTGCATCTGCAGCCATTTTAAGAGCATAAAAATATTCCTGCTAGATCCCTCATGCAGACTCATTTCCCCAAATTGAATTTGGATTAGTGCTGTTTCTCTGTGGCTTGCGGAAATCAGAACTAATGGGCCCAGGCACTTACATGCAAACTAAAAGTTTTAACTCTGATACAAATGGGCAGACCTCAGTCATGATTCTCCAAGTACTTTCTGACCAGCTACTGAAACGTTGTCAGAGACAATGATGGGTTGTCAAGGGTACTCTAAGAAATCCCTGCTGAGTACTCTGTGTACTTATCCCATGAGCTAGCTTCAACATGAGATAAATGAATATTAATACCTCTGTGTTGCTCAGGAAAGAGGCCACATTCTCCTTCAGATCGGCTACAGCTGATGACAACTCTTGGAACTTTTCTTCCAGTGTGTCAAACTCTTTGTCCTTTGTCTAAAGACCAGAGAGAGGAAATTATATTATACCCCCAATGGACAGCAAAGGGTTAGCCTTAGGTTATAGAATGCTAGGAGAGAAGATGAGACACTAAATGTGTTGGCATGGTAGCAACAGTACATAGTGATGCCTGTGCATCATTGCTTTACATTTATATTGCAAATAATGGGTTGAATCCAATACTACCGTTCTGTTCATGTGACAGACTTCTACTTGTTCAGTGGAACTTCCTTCTCCTCTCCTCTGCAGCCCCACCCCCAAAATCTGCTCAAGAGGGCTGGGGGTGCCATGGAGCAGATTTCAGGGGTGCACAAGGACAGGAGAGGAAGCTCTGTTGCACCTCTCATGCAGTGTTGAACAAAACATTAATGAATTATTATTATTTACACAAAACAAGCACCTGTCGCCTTTGGAGTCTTCCAGGAAATTAAACATCATTCCTGATATATGCACACCTTAGATCAGCAGGAAACTAAATACCTAATATACGACTTGCTATGTGAATTCTTCTTCTGTACCTCTGAAGTGCCCTGGTGCCTGATAACATTTTCCTGTTGTATACCTGCTGCATAAGCAGCAGAGTTGGGATATTGAAAGGAATGATTTCATTTTATTTTCAAATTATGCTAATAAAAAATTAAGATTAAAAAATAAGAACTATGGAGAAGGGCCGTAGCTCAGTGGCAGAGCACCTGCTTTGCATGCAGAAGGTCTCTGGTTCAGTCCCTGGCATCTCCAGGCACGCCTGGGAGAGACCCTTGTCTGAAAAACTGGAGAGCTGCTGCCACTCAATCTAGACAATACTGACTGAACCCAACCAGTGGTCTGACTCGGTATACAGTAGCTTCTTACTTTCCTATGACTACTAGGACATGGAGAGAGGAGATTAAATTTAAAACTATACAGATTAAAACTGAAATAAAAAGGCCAAGAGGATTTATTGCAATTCCTGAATTCCCCCCCCCCCCCCGGATTCTTTCAGTTCATTCTCACACTTACTTCAGAAACCACATAAACCAGGTTGCAATGCCCTGACACTGCTAATTTTTCTGCTGATGGAAAGAACCATGACTTCGTTTCAGATTGCCAGCCCAGCTTCCCATTGTGGTTAATGACTGATCGGCTGTTCTTAAGCAGGGTCAAAGGGCTTCAACTTCTATAAAACAGGAACCACCTTGAGCTTGATACCTCGGCAGGAATGTGATGAGGACAGGAAAACGCTCTGCGTGCTTACCACACTGCACAAATTACTGGTGTTGCCGTTAATTATGAAAGAAACACTCCTGGCCAGGTCACAAGTGGGTGCTGTTATGTGATCTCCTCAATGTTGATGTCATGATCCCAAAACCAATTGCATGAGCTCAGAGAGGCTAAAATGTGATAGCTTATTGCTATCTATGAAGCCGCCTGAAGACATCAAGTCAGTGAGTTCAGTCTGATGAAATAGAAACTATGGGTGGCATAGAAGAATGCTTTTCCAACAGCCAGTTTGTGCGTGTGTCCTGAATTCACCCTCCCTTGCCACTCTAGGATTCTGCCAGCCCACCATTTCACTGGGATAGTGGAGACAAGACAAGCACAGGGCACTCACCTTAGGCACAATTCCAGCCTCCTGCATAAAGAGGCGGCTCAGTCGTGTGGTCTTCTTGGCAATGGAGTGGGGGTTGAGGCGAGCCAGGCGTTCCCGCAGAGTCAGATACCCAGGCTTGTTATATTTATTTGCTATTCTCATGTCACACGGGTTAGAAGGTAGGAAAACAGGGAAGGAGCACATTACACAAGGTGGAAATGAATGCCCTGGGCATTTGGTGATACAGAACACCGTCCCAATACAAAAAGAAGACTATAATGTAGTTTCTGAGACAGGGTTTTGGTGGCGGAGAAGCACCTTGTTCTGTTTTAAAGTATCAGCTATCTTTCAATTAAAACTGGCCCTGAGATTGCCCTGAAGGATTTGCTGAGTTGGCCTCTTTCTTTCTTTCTTTCTTTCTTTCTCTCTCTCTCTCTCTCTCTCTCTCTCTCTCTCTCTCTCTCTTATTTTATTTTTACTTGCTTCTCTGTTACAGTTCTTCATTAGTACATCAACATTAGTACAACTGTTGCATTCAAAAAGGATTGGTAAGAAAAATATTTCTTGGGTTGACCACTTTCAAGGAAGCAGCATATCAATTAATTATTGGGATTCTCACACACCTCTCGTCTCTTTCTGTTACCCTTCCCTGTTACCCTTTCACTCTGCTTTGTTTACCATCTAGCCTGGTGAAGAGTTGCAGAGGACTCAAAACCTTGCACACTGTTTTGTGAAATTTTGGTTGGCCTAAAAAAGGAATTGCCCTACTGTGGCTTTTTTTAATGAGAGAAAATAGCTGCCTTTGTTTTTTTAGCATGTACTGCGTCCATCTTCTGAGACCACAGTTAAGGGAGGTGCACACTCTGCCCCTTTTGCTTCAGTGCTAACTTTGCCAGCTCGACAGGGGATACTCAGCCCAACTCCTCAGGTGTAACTGGGCAAGAGCTCCAAAGCAAAATGGAAGGATGCTTTCTTCATGTGTTTGCATGATTGTGTTTGTGTGGGCGTGGGTGTGGGCGTCCATAACACTGAGCAAAAAATTAGCTATCAAGAGATCATGCTGTCTATTGTGTGTCTTTATCTTATGCTGGTCTACTGTAACTGAGAGAATGAGTGTATGTACCCTCTACTTCTGCAGTTGCCTATTGCCAATCTAGCATGTTTTATTTATGTATGGAGGTGCTTTTACTTATGGAGGTCTATGACCGTAATAATGATTTGGATTTGGATGGTTCAGATCCATATCCAATTGTCTGTATATGGTTCCTGATTCTTAGCCTATTAATTTTCTTTGGGCTGGTTTAGCAAACTACTCTCAGTGCGGAGGTGGAACTGACGTTAGAGTTACTGAATGATATTCAACTAAGTTTGACATCAGCGCATCCACTGTACTCTTTTTGGTGCCTGCTAAAAACCTTTTTGTTTAGGCAAGCCTACCAAGATATATAGAATGCTTGCATGTATTTTAATCTGTGTTTAGCTTATTGCTGAGTTTAATTATTATTTGAATGTTTCAGATATCTGTTTTAAAGTGTTTTTACTGATAAATTTGTTTCACTCTTTCTGAAAACTGCTGTGAGGAATTTTTTTCTACACTCAAACTGTTTATAAATTATATGAAATAATTAAATAAAACAAGTAAGTTTGCCATGTTCATTAATTTCAGTGGGCTTACTCTGAGTAAAACATAGCTCAATACAACCATTTTTAAAAAATATTTTCTTTTTTACGCTGTCTACATTTTTTCTTGTCATTATTGAGACACAGCCATCCTTGGGGTAACCCACTCAATGTAGACCTCAGGGTCCCACAAGGAGGCATCAAACGTATGCCCAGAGTGGCTTCAGGAGAATAAACAAGCCCAAGTGACTGAAACCACCCACACAGTACAGGGCTCCTGGAGTAGAGCAGATGGTGTCCAGAGAGCATCCATTTGCCTCACCTACTTCCTTGCGTCTTTTGTACTCATTGATATTGGCATTGACGTCTGTCATAGCAGCAGCTGCAGCTTGGAGAGCTCCATAGGCACTGTCGCTGACTGGGGTATTTTCCAATATCTTCTGCAGCAGCAGTGGGTATTTTGTGACCCGTTGCACTGGCATCACCAGGAAGAAGCTCAGGTCTGAAGCCCCAATGTGAGGCCTGTCCAAGAGAGGCAGAAGGACAGCAAAATTTAAGCAGGCTTCAGAACTTACTAACCTAGTGATTCCCTAGGTTTCTCTAGTAATACAAACAGGCAGAAGCTCATGGGTGTGGCCAGGGGGTCAAGTAAATAAATAAAAATACTTAACTAAAAGTAGAAAGAATCAGAATATTTGAAATTGAAATGTTTGCTGAGGTCACTTGGACGATACTGTGGCGGATTCTAGTGACACAGCTGGCAACCCTACTGAGCGATAGGCCTGAATTCCGTGAATTGACCAATCACATCACAGGTAGCTTGGTCCGCCCCCACTCATTAACATAAATCCTGGCTACGCCCATGCAGTAATTGTACCCTACTAGTTTGATTTTGTTTGTTTGCTGAAGCCTGTAAGAAAACTGGAACCATTGCCAGGTGCCTAGTTATCTGTCATGGTGCATGGTGATTGTATCATTGCCATGTTAACTGGTTACACCATGCAGCAGGGCCTGGAGAATTCGTTTGCTGCTGTTACATTGACATTATGAATGAGGCCATCCGTGACCAGCGCAAGGCTTCATCTTCCAGCATCTTGTTTCAACAGTGCCCAACCAGATACTTTTAGGAAGACCACAAGCAGGGCACAAAAGCAAGAGCCGTCCCCTGTTGTTGCTCCCCAACCACTGGTATTCAGCAGCACACTGCCTCTGAATATGGGGATAGCATAGCTGCCCATAGCAATATCAATTGACAGACATATCCTCCATGATGAATTTGTATAATCCTTTAAACCACCTAAGCTGGTGGTCATAACACCTTATGGCAGTGAATTCCATAAATCAGTTGTTATGTGAAGAATTGCAGGAGGGGGACCAAGAGGCCTTTAGTTCTTGGCAATGGAGGCCACAGTATGGGGTTGAACACTGAATGCTGCCACATATGCATGGCATATCATGGACGCTGGATGCTGGGAACTATAAGAAATTAATGGAATAACAGTGGGAAGATGTAACATAGACCATATTTGCACTCTGCTCTTGCCCTTTATTCTCTGTTCATTCTCTTACTGATTCCACACACACACACCAATTCAGGGCTAGAAACTAGCTGGGGTTAACTAATGTACGCTTTGTTCCATTGACCTGCGTAGACCTTGGCAGATTTCCACTCTCTGGTTTGGGGAGCTTGTGCTTGCTCATTTGCAAAAGAGAACTGTCGCCTCTCACAGCCGTGCTCAGTCACTCAGATAACAGTCTCAGCCAGCTGAAGTGATGGACTGACCCGAAGGACGCAGATGCTGCCAGCCACTGACTGATGTCCTTGCCTCATTACACACAGTGTCATGTTTGTTTAGCTAACGAACTCACCCTGGGATTGATTCTTCTCCAACAGATGGAAGGAAGAAGTAACAGTGCCTGGGAATAGCTGCCTGCAGCAGGGCCTCCGAGTGGGCACTGCATCACAACATGGCCATGATCTTTTTAGCCATATCCAGAAACACACTGCTGAATAGGTTGAAAAACAGAAGTTCCTGGTTCAGTTCCTCATTGCCATTGGTGGACCTTCGGATTAACCACCAACAATGACACAGGCAACAGAAGCAAGACGAATGTGAGGAGTAACTATACATTGTGGAGGGCAAGTAAACCAGAAATAATGTGGTGCCCTCTAGATGTTGTTGGACTACAACTCCCATCAGCCCCAGCCAGGATAGCTAACAACGAGGGATGATGGGAGTTGTAGTCCACAACATCTGGAGAGCATCACATTGGCTCCCCCTTAAGTAGACAACCATTCACAAGCCAACTTCCATTTCACATTTGAAATCTGGGTCACATGTTTCTGACTATCAAGCGAGCTACTTACACTGTGACAGTCAGGGTATCCACAATCTCTTTCTGCAGCCTTGGCTCATTCCTGTAAATCTCCAGCAGTAGAAGAGCTTGATCATAGTCACCACAATAAATTTTATAGGTGTTTTCCATCTCCTCTTTGAGCTCTTGGAATAAGGTGCCTACCATAGCAAAGGTACAATATTGATTCTGCAGCACACCAATCACATCTCCAAGACAGGTGCCTAAGAAAACCCTCAGAACCACGAAAGTAACAGCAGCAATAGTTGTCCTCTAAACAATTAATCTTTGATCCTTACCTATGGAACTTAAGAGGCCCCCTTCTCCTTTTTATGAAAAACTAAAAGCCTGTATCCAGAGCTGGCAAGTTAGTTAAAATTAAAACATAAGATCAATAAGTCCAGCGTCTAAATTACCAAGCTGACCCACTACCTTCAATCTCCTTTGCTCTGGGCTCCCTACCTTTAGCTTCCCTACCACCTGGGTCCTCTTCCTAGTCTTCAGCTTGTCACTGTGGAATGTTTTAATCCCTGCCAAGCTTACAACTTTCTCTTCCCTCACGGAAGTTGTTCTACAAACTATTAGATGGCAGAACTCTTATGTATTCCATCAGCATCACTTTCCCAGTAAGGAATCCTTGACAGGATATGCTGCTAAAAAAGGAAAGGGGCAATGTTATACAGTGGTTCCGCTCCTTCCTCCTGTGCCATGTCCAGAAAGTGGTGTTGGGGAATGAGTGTTCAGACCCCTGGGCTTTCACTTGTGGGGTGCTTCAGGGTTCCGTCCTCTCCCCCATGCTTTTTAACATCTATATGAAGTTGCTGGGAGAGATCATCAGGGGGTTTGGGCTGGGTGTTCATCAGTATGCGGAAACCCAGCTCTACCTCTCTTTCAAATCAGAACCAGTGAAGGCAATGAAGGTACTGTGTGAGTGCCTGGAGGCGGTTGGAGGATGGATGGTGGCTAACAGATTGAGGTTGAATCCTGACAAGACAGAAGTACTGTTTTGGGCAGACGGGGTGAGCGGGTGTGGGGGACTCCCTGGTCCTGAATGGGGTAACTGTGCCCCTGAAAGACCAGGTGCACAGCCTGGGAGTATTATGGAATCACAGCTGTCCATGGAGGTGCAGGTCAATTATGTGTCCAGGGCAGCTGTCTACCAGCTCCATCTGGCATGCAGGCTGAGACCCTACCTGCCCACAGACTGTCTGGCCAAAGTGGTACATGCTCTAGTTATCTCCTGCTTGGATTACTGCAATGCACTCTACATGGAGCTACCTTTGAAGGTGATCTGGAAACTACAACTAATCCAGAATGCGGCAGCTAGACTGGTGACTGGGAGCGGCCACCGAAACCACATAACACCGGTCCTTAAACACCGGTCCAATGTAAACCTACATTGGCTCCCAGTACGTTTCTGAGCACAATTCAAAGTGTTGCTGCTGACCATTAAAGCCCTAAATGGCTTCGGCCCAGTATACCTGAACGAGTGTCTCCACCCCCATCGTTCAGCCCTGACATTGAGGTCCAGCGCCGAGGGCCTTCTGGCAGTTCCCTCACTGCAAGAAGTGAGGTTACAGGGAACCAGGCAGAGGGCCTTCTCGGTAGTGGCACCCGCCCTGTGGAATGCCCTCCCATCAGATGTCAAGGAAATAAACAACTACCTGACTTTTAGAAGACATCTGAAGGCAGCCCTGTTTAGGAAAGTTGTTAATGTTTGAAGTTTTATTCTGTTTTTAGTCCTCTGTTAGGAGCTGCCCAGAGTGACTGGGGAAACCCAGCCAGATGGGCGGGGTATAAATAATAAAATTATTATTATTATTATTATTATTATTATTATTATTAATGAGATAACATGAAAACATGTTGTGATGACCTAAATAATTAGTACTGACCGTACTGCCCTTTAGACATTTCCCTAAACACGCAGGAGTCACTTGTCCGTGAGCAACTCCTGTGCAGCTGAGAGAATGTTTAGGACCCTGCTACGAGGCTAGATTTTGATCACATTTTTCCTGCCCACCCCAACTCCCAGAATTAGCAACCCTTTCACAGCATTGTGCCAATTCCATGAGAAAGGCGCAGTCCATCAGTCATTTAAATATGGTGGAACCATGTCAACTTTCACCCAGTTATGTGGGAATGCCTTACACACAAGCAGTTCCCATTCAGCTGGGGAAAAGTATAAAGGGCATCTGTTTTCTCTTCACAAAAGAATGACCTAGAAGCCCAGGAAAACTCTAGCTTAGAAAACAATGCATGGTTGGCTCAGGTAGCAGTTGCCTGAGGACTCCTCTTTATGTTCTGCTAATTGGTTGCAACCTTGATGATTTCCCTGCATTTCTTTTTCTGTTCCAGCTGTGCAACCTATGCAGCGCAGTTATAGTTCCCCTTTCTTAATGGCTTGGTGCAATTGCATTACCAGTGAAACCGTACTATGACCTTTGTCCTGTCCATGATTTGGGGTTATGAATTAAATATTAGCACAAGTTACCAAAGTTTGTTTAGCTCCTTGGCCATGTAAACACCTTCAGAATAATTCTTTTCTGCTTCTACAGATGGTAGGATCAATATTGAAAACACAGGAGGAATTAATAATAATAATAATAATCTTTATATCCCATCCATCTGGCTGGTCAGCATCACAGCAATTATTGCTAGCAATAAACAGAAGTTAATGTAACACAAAGCATATCACTGATTTAATAACATCTGTCTCAGATGGCTGGTTGTTATATTCCCACTCACTGATACGGTAGAGCTGCTCGTGCTCCTGGTTCATTGCAGCTTCAAGTCCTTTCAGGAAACGTCTGGAGATGTGCAGGACATCATCTATATTGGAGAAAAGTCCTTCCAGGTCAATCTCAGGTAGCTAAAAGGCATAATAGATTAGGAGAATGCATCAGTTCTTTCTCTGTGCGTCCATGAGTGAGCAAATGATTACTGTTTGAACAGTAATCCGAATGTTGCTTCTAAAGGTACATCTAGAATCAAACACCTATGCATTCTGGGACTGGAGAAACAGAGATCACATCATTGCAGAATGGATGTACCAAAGATGGGGCTTAATTGTCATTGTCTACCAGGAGAAAACTTGCTGACAACAGGACCCAGTGGTCACCTGTAGACAGACCTCTAAATAGCCAGGTACTCTGCATTGCTGTAGAAGGGACTGGGGAAAGGTATAGCACCAGCTTAAGAACTGCCTTGTCTTAGTCTATAATGTACAGCATCTCCCCAAAGAGCTACCACATACTGTTACCCAAAGCATCTCACACTGCAGCCTACACACCGACTATCATGGTAGCTTCTTAGACTACATTCACACCATATATTTAAAGTACTATGATACCACTTTAAACAGACATGGCTTCCCCCAAACAATTCTGGGAGCTGTAGTTTGTGAAAGGTGCTTCAAATTGTTAGGAAACCTTCCCTCACCTCCCAAGCTACAATTCACAGAGTTCCCTGTGAAGAGGGATTGACTGTTAATCCATTGTTAAATATATAGCGTGGCCTTAGCCTACCCCAAGTTCTGAATTTCACTACTAGGAACAAATGCTTAGCTTTCTTAAGTTCCTTAATGCGTCGTTGTTTTCAGAATTTGAGATTGCCTGTTGCGGATTTTAAAAACATTTTGCTACACGATTCACACCCATGGAAATGTGTAGAGGAGGGATAGCCAACTTGGTGCCCTCCAGATGATGCTGGACTACAACTCCCATCATTCTGGCTATGATGGGAGTTGGTGTGCATCATTGTCTGGGGTGGGCACCCCCTGGTGTGGAGGACCTGCCTCACCTGCTTTTTCTGGAGGTGATTACGGATATCTGAAATACACAGCTGAAGGTTCTGTACATAACTGGTCTCTGTGTTGATGAGCTCCTCCACAGCCAGCCGTTGGTTCTGCTCTGTTTTGTCCAGGTATGTCAGAGTTTCATATATGGGTTCAGCCTCTGGTGTCTCCTCAGATGTCAGTTCATCTGTGCTGTCATTTGCCATATTGGGAGCTATAAAGAGAGAGGGAGACACAAGAGGAAAAGGTGGGTCATGAGTGCGCATAATCCACTTAATAATCTTCAGGCCCATTCTAACTCTACACTTCAGTGGGAACATGCTGCTGGGTTTATTATTTTGCAAATGTCTTAAGGCAGAAACTACTGCCTATGCTCTGCCATGAGGCTAGCTGCTCCACCCATTGGCAGAGAGCCTCTGTAGAGCAGCAATGCCATCACATTTCAGTTGTGAACCAGGAAGCTGCTTATTGTAATCTTGTCTGTGCCCTGAAAGTCACTAGGTGTCTTAATTTATTTCTGACTGCAGTCCTCAAATCAGCTTGCAGCATTTATGAGTACACAACAGGTAACCTGAGCTGAGAATCACATAACGTTCCCCTAAGATGCCCCTGAAGTGGCTTGTGCTGCAATGACACATCTCCATCCTTGAGTCAAGTTACAATATATATCTACATAATATACTTAAAATCACTAAAGAGCAAATTTTGATGTTGGCCTGGAATTGTGAGATAGCCTTTCAGAATATTTTGATGGTTGGGTTCTGCCGTCACCCATGTAAGCCACTTAGCACTCACTAGAATGTGGAAATGTGCTTCAGGACAGGACAGGATGAGTGTTCAGCTTGCAAAGAAGTTTCTAAAACCCTACAAAAATAAAGTTTACAAATTGGTGGATTCAGCATGTTATTCTCAATATAAACAGATGCGCTATCTTGGAGAATATCATATTGTTGTAAAATTGGGAGAGGGTTAATGGAGCCAGAAGTTCTGTGAGGCACTCCCTTACTATGCTGTCCACATCCTGTTGCCCAAAGTGGCAACCCAAATGCTTTTGGAGTGCTTAAGTGTCATCTTACCCATAAAGCACCCATGTTGTATGACTTTTACTAAGGACTTCTATATGTTATATTTGTGTTGTATGTTGTAAACTGCCCTATGGTCTTCTGACTAAGGGCCATATACAAATTCAATAAATAGTAATAATAATACTGTAAAGCAGTGAACTTCAGCTGGGGGGCCGGGACCCACTACTTGGGTCATGGGCTGATCTAAGATGGGTCACAAAAGCAGACCGCCAACATATTATATGTGCTAGAAGCCACCCAGAGTGGCTGGGGAGACCCAGCCAGATGGGCGGGGTATTATTATTAATAATAATAATATTAATATCATTATCAATAATAAGTCAGTGACAAAAGTTGCCAAGTAAATCATTTTTTAAAGGCAATTTCTGGTTGATTGCACCCAATGAGCTGGGACTTTCTTAAGACTGGAGATCAGATGGAGGGCTGGGATTTTGCTGTCTCTTGGAAGATTTAAACCAGGAGCAGCCTACATAGTAAGACTTGTCAAGGTTAAGGAGTCCAGAGTCAAACCCAACTCCCTAACCAGTAGGCTGTCACCCTTCTAGGGAACCAAAGTATTTGCAAAGTAACCAAATACAGCCAAATAGATCAGAAGCAACTGATTTAGACCAAGGCAATTTCCCAAATGATCACATAGAAGTATAGCATTATACAGAATAATACAGAACCCCATAAGATTCCAGTGATCTTCCAAAAGAAACCGAACCTGGGTAAGCATTGTACTCCTAGAATTTCTCACTGCTTGAAGAAAGTATAACAATATTCTCACTTGACAAAACATTCATTCTCTTTAAGCTGACAAAATTTCAGTATACCTTGAGAAAAGTTCCCTGGATATCCTACTGAAAATTAGTAACATGCACATTTTTGTGTGTGTAGCATCCTCACCCCTAAAATAAAAGCAGAAGACTTAAGAACTGAATGGAAATGGTCCACATAAATAAACAGACCATAGAGAAGATTTCTGTACACCACAAGACCGTGTCTTTACACTACAGTATTATATTCTGAACAGCGTGCCAGTCTGTGCTATACATCCATAGTACTGGGTTATTTTTATCTGATTGCTGCTGTTGATCAATTGTATTCACTGCAGGCTAGCTATTGCAAAAGACACTTTAAAATCCATTGAATCTAGCAAGGGGAACCACAGATGGCTCGTATGTAGAAGCTTCCTTTCACTTGAATAATTCAACACTATTTATTAATGCATCAGAATGGCAGCAAATAGAAAGCTGGAACCCTGGTCATCATTGTTCTCCTGGATTCTGACCGCAAAGGGGCTGCTTTACCTGAGAATAGATGCACTTGTCAGGCCTGGAACCTTTTGTTCTGATTGTATCCCATTATGCTGACAGACATTTTAGAGAGATGATATTGGAATAAAGAAGCAAAAGCAAAAAAAAGAGAGAAAGATGGACTGAGACTGCCCATTTCTAAAATAGGTTAATGTAGTTGAGAACCTGTCCAGGGTTCCTAGGCCTGGGACCAGAAGAAAGGCTCCTAGGGAGGCTCAAGTAATGAGATAACCCACTGTCACAAAAGTTGAGAATTCCCAATCTATACAGTGACTACAAAGGGGCTGGAGCTAGGCACATCCAAAAAGCATTTCAGGAAAACGTGTTGTAAACTTTGTTATGGGAAATCACGCTGGTGAAACATTGGACTCCACAGCACCATCTGGTGTCAGAGTGTTATAACACATATAAAACGCTTTTTCTTTACTAAGGTAGCTGAGTCCAGGGTCTCAGTTAAAAGTTCTGAAGGAGGTAAAAGTTCCAAAGATGCAGTCCTGCTATACAGTATTTTAGTGATGGGGACAACAAAACTACCTATCAACTGATTGCTGCTGCCCTTCATCAGGGCTCATAAGGGGAACTCTGTACTTTTTAAAGTATAGAGACCCTGGTTATTAGGTATAAACTAGGTTTGCTACATTGACAGAGTTTGTGTACTTTTAACAGCTGTGCAACAGGGAAGTTCAGGAAGTAAAGTTGATGAGAAAGTTTACCTATTCAATTACTGCCTGTCTTGAAGTTGTTACAGAAACAGAAAACTGCTAGGGAAAAAATGGTTGCATTCCACAGCAAAGGTGGGAATCTTTGGCACTTCAGATGTAGCTGAAATACAACTCCCACCAGCCCCAGCAAGCATGGCCAATGGCCAGGAATGATGGGAGCTGAAGTTCAGCAATATCTGGAGTGCGAGAGGTTCCCCACATTTGCTGTAGCATAATCCTCATCACTGTAATCACACAAGACAACATATGTGACTAATACTATCAACTTTCAAAACAGGTTGGTGCCAGACTTGGTAGGCATATTCCTATTGTAATGAAGGCAGATGGCAAAACACAGTCCCCTTTATTTTCCATTATCACCCTAGGCTTTCACCCTATTGTTTTTGGGGTTGTTGCTTTTTAAGTCACTTGAATATTCCTTCTGTTTTGATGCCAGCCATTTTTGACTTATAGTTGATTCAGAGGTTTAGCTGTAGCTGGAAGGATTAATAATGATGCATTTCTGGGGAATGCTGACTTCACTTTAAACCAGGCATAGGCAAACGCGGCCCCCCAGATGTTTTTGGCCTACAACTCCCATCATCCCTAGCTAACAGGACCAGTGGTCGGGGATGATGGGAATTGTTGTCCCGAAACATCTGGAGGGCTGAGTTTGCCTATGCCTGCTTTAAACCATAGTTAAGCTCAACTGTGACTGAAAGGTGAATGTGCTGCATGCTGCTGCATGGGGTGAAAATCACAATCACTTCACTCCTCCCCTGCTCCTCCTGTGCTGTCTGAACCTAGGCTTGTGTCTTGTGTCTCTCAAAAAAACCACAAGAACATAACCTAGGTTTGCTCCACTCTTTGGGCGAGACAAACTATAAGCCCATCTTGGCAGCACAACAGCAGCTGGAGCAGGTGAGGGGAGGGGTGAACAAGCACAAGTTTCTGCTCTGTGTACCAGTATGCTGCACTGTCACCTTTAAACCATACCTAAGTTTGACTCTTTTTTTAAAGCAGTGTGCAAACACTGCCACTATATGGACTCCTCCAGCAAATAGTGTGTTAGGAATTGTCAAATCTACAAATCTGATATTGCTTAATTTGATTGTGCCTTTTGTCATTGTTGTTGTTATGTGAGCAAAAAAGATATGCAGTTGGATCTGTGGAAGAGACTCATGTGTCCAAATATCTGAAAATATAATATTTTTGCTACTAAGGATTTTAACCCCAGTATACAAGGGTTGCCCCTCCTTCAGTTCTACAAACTTTGCAGCAGACCTTCTGAAATACATTTCTGAGGGTGAAAGAGGTTGATTTTAAAATATGTGCCATTTGTTACAGAAAGAGTGGGGAACACTTGTTTATGGAAAGAAGCATGCCTCCTCCCTTTGTCTTATTTCTTTCCTGCTGGCAGAAAATTGAAGGAAATGAAACTGATAGCTTCTTCCTTGAACTCTCTGTAAGGCTTGTTTCAAAGTGAAAGCAAGAGAGGCACGGACAAAATGTTCCAACCAGAATCACAAGGCAAGACCCTTGGAAGAAGATCTTCAAGAGAAACAATAGTTGAACCTGTGTCAGCTCTCATCACAGTATGGAAGAGTTTGTTTTCCCCTGGAACATCTATTGATTTTGAAGCAATCATCAAATGCTGGGCCTGAGGAGGCCACATGATGTGTGCTGAAGAAGAAGAAGAAGAAGAATGAACAGAGGCGGGTAATCAAGCAGATCAAAGCATTCTGGGCTAAACAAGAAAATTACAATGGAAATTTTGAACATGCTGCAGGAATTTTAACTATCTAGTTGTGGAATTAAGTGACTGCATTTGAGCTTGTTTACAGGTTGCATAAATGTCTGATATACCGTAATTTTGATGACTGCCAAAGAGGCCTTTGGAGAGGAGACTATGAGGTCTTCTTTTTTGTAGGAATCTGGAGTTGTACTATTAAAATGTTTGTAAGAAGAACTGTTTTTTCTTTTAATTGGGATTCATAGCAGTCTCTTCACAGAAGGTTCAAGAAGCTAATGACATCTCTTTCCTACACATGAGGAAACTGTAAGTGATGGGACAGGAAGAATGAAGGAAGATAAGGAGAACAGTAGGCCTGGGCCAAAATTTCTTGTTTGATGTAAAGACAACAGGTACAGAAAGTGAAAAGATAATGATGGTTCTGGTAGACTCTGGGTCAGTGAAACAGGAGCTGTTGGGTCCAGAATCTGGACACAAAGAACTTCATCCTTGCTGCATCCAGCTGTGGCTTCTACTGTCACTGTAGCATTAAGAGTGATGCTGGATCAGGCCAAAGGCCCAGATGGCTATGGAAAGCCCACAAGCAGGACCTGAGCACAACAGCAACTGGTATTCAGAGGCATACTGCCTCTATCAGTGAAAAGAGAACATTGTGACATGGCAACCCTATAGGGAGGGCAGCAAAGGGCAAAACGATGTTGGGAAGCTGAATTTCACTTACTGATCTGAACTAACCAGCCCATTCTTTGGCTGAAGGCTTCTACAGGGACTTGAAAGTGCATAACTTTGACAGTACTGGAGGTGGATGAAAAGCTAGTCAATAGGGAAGAACTCATACTACCTTTCCTGCTGAACTGGTCTGTTATTTTGGGCAAGTCACTGGCCCTACATATACCTGAGAGACAGCCTGCTTTATAGAACTCCCAAATTTTCCAATCAACATATGGCAAAAATGAGGGAGAGAAGGCCCGATGCAAACAAGTGACAGTGCTGAATAATGACAGTAAGCTGAGTACTCTGTGTTGGGCCCAATAGAAGAACCTATCTGCATGTTCAGAAAAAGCATGTGGTATGACTCTTTTGGGACATGCCATTTCAGAGAATTCCATGACTGAGGGCTCTCACCTGCCTGCAAAATTCTACCGTGTCTGGGTCTCTGAATGTAGCCTTCTCTCACACATACTATTTTTCCAGATGCTGCTGGAAAGTATGTAATAATAATAATAATAATAATTTTTTATTTATACCCTGCCCTTCCTGGCCAGAACTGGGCTCAGGGTGGCTAACACCAATAAAATTACAATAAAACATAATAGGGGTGGGAGTTAATTAAAATACGGGTTAAAATACAATTTAAAAAGCAGCCTCATTTTAATAGTAGCCCATAAATCAAAACCATAAAGGGATGGAAACATAAGGGTCAGACTGAGTCTAAACCAAAGGCCAAGCAGAACAGCTCTGTCTTGCAGGCCATCCGTAAAGATGCCACCCCTCACCTTCACTCTGAAGTGGTACAGTCCCAGCAGGGACTTTCTGAACATGTACAAACACCACACAGAAACCAGGCAGGCAGGAGCTTGCATCATCCACAGTCCCTTTTTGTACCTGCTGAAGGAGTCCTGCTGCCACCCAGTTCGGGTTGTTCATTTTCCCAAGCAGGACTTCTGTACTGTTAATAATTGGGAGGGGGAGATTAAAAACAGGCGATGTTTCCCACAACTCAACCGCACCTGTAGAATCCCTGCTTGCCATGCAGCTGTTAAATGCTCAGGGATGCTGCCAGAAAGCAAAAAAAGTGGCAAACATACTGGTTCTCTAAAAACTATGGAAAAAGCAGCTTTCCCTTTTACCACCTCCTGTGACAGGCACCTGCTCTTCCCCGCAGAAGTCAGTGAATGTGCAGGATCTGGAATGTGGTTATGCAACCTTCCCACTCATCCATGCAGGGAGAGACAGCCGTCCCTGATTAATGGCTGCCCGGGAGATTTTGTGAGACGCACACAATTCCAAGGACTTGGCCCCTGCCCTTTCGGAGGACATCTCCTCCATCAGCAAAGCGCTTGCTGTCAGCTCTCCTTGGCTTTTTTGCTTCTTAATTCTTACCTGCTAATTAGCTGGGGACTTCTCGACTTGTTTAAGCTGCCTCACTGCTGCTGCTGCTGCTGCCGCTGCCGCCTCTGAGTTAATGATCAACCCACTGTGTTCCAGCTGCAGAAGCACAGGCTTGTTTGTGTCTATGTGTGCAGAGGACTGGCTGGCCCTCTCAGCTGTGTGCAAGTAAGTGTCTGTGAGCCAGGCCAGGCTCCGTTCCCTCACTGCCATTCTCTCGCTGCTCTGTTTACTGCAGCCACACAGGCTATGCGCGAGTCCAGGCGGGAGTCAGATGAGTGTATTCACTCACAGTGCTCCAAAACAAGAGAATATGCATCCAAGGCAACCTCTGCCGGGGTGGCAGCAGGCCAGCTGTAGAGATTTCTAGATGGAAATGAATGGGCCCTGTAGCCTGGCAGGGGGGCCAGCTGCAGGAAAAAAGAAACACCTTCACACACAATAGGAAAATCCTGTGGGGAGCAGAGAGCAGTGCAGGCCACAAACAGCAACTCAGCTGACTGAGCTTTGGCTGTAGGCCACCTCTCACTCCAAGGCACTCCCTCAAAGCCTGTTTACTAACTGGCAAACCCTCAGCATGTTCTAGCATCAGCGCAATGTCCCGTGGGCAGCTTCATTTACTCTTATTAACAAGCGTGGTCTGGAGGTTTATGACAGCCATGAGCAAACAGGCTTTGCTTTAAAAAGAAAAGATGCCCCGGAAAGTATATAAACTGCGGTCTGTATTCCTGCTGCTATGCCTGACAGGTGGGGACATAAGCTCTCCCTAGAGGCTGATTTCTGAGCATTTGGTAATTACAGGTTTTTGCACCATAATAGCCCCAAATCAAAACAGATTTGATTGGGAAGGAGCACAAATTGTACCAGTGGAGGAGGGAGGTTTAATGTTTAATTCATGTTTATTAAATTTCACATCTTTATAATCATGCCGGGGGCGGCACAGGCGATGACTCCAAAAAGCAGCAGCCAGCCAAGCTTCTCAGATTTGATGGCATGGCTTTCTCGTGGCCTAGCTGGCTCTCTCAGCGGTTTTCTGATAGTGTGTGTGACTGTAGGTAGGTTTCCTCAAGGTGACCTGGGAAGGTTGAGAAGATGGAATGGCACAACGGCATATCTCCCAGTTCTACCAGTCAGATCAGTAGAATCTGTTATAATTCACTGGCTTCAGCATATTTGCCTTGCATCTTCTTCCCAAATTTGTCTTCCTGTTGCTAACAAATCTAATGTCAACAACATTTAACAAAGCTTAGCTTGCATGTTTTTAAGGGGTGGGATTTGCTAGCCTGACACCATTCTTTACTGTATGGTAGCTGTTTTACTTTTTAGGCTGTTGGTTTTCAGCTGTGCTGTTACTTCTGCTTGCTTATTTTATTTTGATGACTTGCTTTAAGCAAAGGTTTCTACAGAAAGGCAACTTATAAGAACATGTTGATGTTTTAAAAGTTCTAGCACTAGATGCAGCCTTGTATACTGGGATCTTGCAAATGGAGACCTGCAGATTAAAAATTAGATTTGCTGAGGAAATCCCAAAACAGGCCCAGAAGGAGACACTGGAGCACGGTCAACAGGACACAAAAAAACAGCCAAGGGCTCAAAAGGGGACCAGTCAATCAGGAGGGCATACTTTAAAGCAGAGATCGCCAACTCTTTCCCACCAGTAGACACATATAGAACTTTGAGAATGTTCAGTCAGTGCTAGCCATAAAATATCTGCTCCGTGAGCATGGCATAATGACTTCCACATCTAAAAAAGCAGAAAGATGGGACTTATCCACTCTTCCATTTGCTCCACTGCCCACCCAACCCCCAGAAAACCCAGTCATTAGTGCTGAATTGGCACAAATGACACTCAGGTTTTCTGTGGATTGCTGTTTGTTCCGATTCAGGACAAAAGAGTAGGTTTTCCAGGGCAAAGCAGTGAGGGAAAGGCCAAACTGCTCAGACCCATGCCTAGAAAGCATGGAACAAGCAGAAAACTGTTCAGATCCATGCTTCCTAGGCATGGGACAAACAGAAGTGTGGACGAGCCCATACAGGATTGCAAAATGCTTGTAGGCATGACCCTCATCAGCTGGGGAAGGTGGCTCCCCAGCAGAGCATCTGCTTTGCATACAGGAAGTCCCAGGTTCAATCCCTGGCATCTCCAGATAGGGTTATGTGGGAGACACCATGTCTGAAATTCTGGAGGACCATTGCCAGTCATTGTATAGACTCTACTCAGCCAATGGTCTGACTCAATATAAGGCAGCTTCCCATGTTCCATTCAGGAATAGTACAGCCATCCTCTCCCCATCCAAGGCATTGCCTCCCACACTGGTGATTAGATTCCAAGTGTACCTGTTTTTAGCCAACAGATCCTTGAATGAATGCTCAGTGGACAAATCTAACTGAACATAGGAACCCGCAATAGTAAGATATAGTGATTGGGTCATTTAACCTCTGGTATGATACTAGAATTGTTTGTCGCATAAAAGAACCAAGAGAAGGGCAGGTTAGGTTACAAAGGTTGACAGTGCCCAGCAATTGAAGGAGGCTCCAGAGTTGGGTCAAAAAACCTCAGGATAGTCAGTACAGGTAAGTTAGGATAGCCAGGATATGAATGTAGGTTGCCCCACAGGCCTATTTTCTTATTGTATGTTCTTGGGCTCGAAAGAGACCTTGGCTATGCAGGCCGTATGCTGGGTAAGACTCTCATTTTAAACCTTCCAATTTATGAAGCTTGCACTATTTCCTCAGAAGGCCTAATCTATCACTGTCACTTTTTCCTCCAGGTCAGCTGAAGTTACTTTTTGCCTCTTTAATCACCACCCACCGCTATCTATCCTATTCAGCTGTCCAGCAATTACACTAGGAACAGCCATATAATGTCATAATATTCACGGCTTTTGCTACCTTCCAATTTTACTTGCAAGCCTCCTTAGTCACAAGAATCTACATATTTCTTGGTCTTGCCCTTTTCCATTTATTAATACACAATGAAATCTAAAAACTCATGTTTGCGGTCTTTTGACACTCCATTCTCATTATGAGGCCAAATCAGTGTAGTCCTCTTTGTTGACTTATTTATTGATCCTCCTTCGAATTCTCAGGCCTTCCATTTAATTTCATAGCTTTTGCCATCTGGTCACCTTGCCCCTAATGTGTTCCTCAACTAGCCCATCTCTGTGATCAATCTTTTAGTCCCATTTTCTCATCAACCCAGCATTACTGGGCTCAACACCAAATGAATATTTTCCCTTTATATTTTTACTGAGATTGTTCCTGTTATTTCAAATGCTCTTGAGCTTTCCAAAAGCATTAACATGTCATCTTATTATTTTTCTTTAAATTTATCTAGCACTGACATTCTTAATATCTCTCACTGATCTCCTTAATCCTGCAGCACTAGGTTACCTCTCTGCAGAAAGCAATGTTTTTGTTTCAGACTATTTCCATATAAGCTTCAAGGGGAGCATGTAGTATTTCATGCACACCCAACTCAGCAAATGTTTAAGACGTGGTACTTAAAGAAGTTACAGGGATGAATCTTGGCAATTCTGTCTGTTTGTCTCCATTAAATTGCTTCTATTCCAGTAAATCATGCTGTTCAAACTGTTACATAGAATAGAATAGAATCATAGAGTTGGAAGAGACCACAAGGGCCATCGAGTCCAACCCCCTGCCAAGCAGGAAACACCATCAGAGCACTCCTGACATATGGTTGTCAAGCCTCTGCTTAAAGACCTCCAAAGAAGGAGACTCCACCACACTCCTTGGCAGCAAATTCCACTGTTGAACAGCTCTTACTGTCAGGAAGTTCTTCCTAATGTTTAGGTGGAATCTCCTTTCTTGTAGTTTGGATCCATTGCTCCGTGTCCGCTTCTCTGGAGCAGCAGAAAACAACCTTTCTCCCTCCTCTATGTGACATCCTTTTATATATTTGAACATGGCTATCATATCACCCCTTAACCTCCTCTTCTCCAGGCTAAACATGCCCAGCTCCCTTAGCCGTTCCTCATAAGGCATCGTTTCCAGGCCTTTGACCATTTTGGTTGCCCTCCTCTGGACACGTTCCAGTTTGTCAGTGTCCTTCTTGAACTGTGGTGCCCAGAACTGGACACAGTACTCCAGGTGAGGTCTGACCAGAGCAGAATACAGTGGCACTATTACTTCCCTTGATCTAGATGCTATACTCCTATTGATGCAGCCCAGAATTGCATTGGCTTTTTTAGCTGCCGCGTCACACTGTTGGCTCATGTCAAGTTTGTGGTCAACCAAGACTCCTAGATCCTTTTCACATGTACTGCTCTCAAGCCAGGTGTCCCCCATCTTGTATTTGTGCCTCTCATTTTTTTTGCCCAAGTGCAATACTTTACATTTCTCCCTGTTAAAATTAATCTTGTTTGTTTTGGTGCACATGATCTAATGGTAAAATAACCAACGATTTGAAAGAACATCAAGCTCTTGAGATGCTTGGCTTCCAAAATGATTGCTCTGAAAACTATCGTTTAAAATGACCTCCCTCACAGAGAGATGAGTACATGTGAAGTGTGATAGAAGAGCAGTAACTAATCACAGCAGCGAGGTCATTAGCACATTGTGCCCAGACAAGGTAAGTAGGGTCTTAACATCTCTTAGGTGATATTCCATTTAATGTTCATTTGGTGTCATCATCCTAATGATGGAATATCATGCTACCACATGGGGCTTTGGTCACTTGCTGTACTCATTTTCCAATGCACTCAAATGTTATGAGACTGGAAATTCAATCTGTTGTCAAGCCCATGTTCTGATTCAGGAATAAATACAAACAAAAGGTAAGCAGGAAGAAGGGACAAAAATCAGTTGCCTATAACATACACCAAAGGTCAGGTCATTTTTGCCACGGATGTGGAGTTATTAAAGTGGTGCAGGATATAACACTTCCATTTCCCCTTCACTTTCAGACAGGTTTTAATAGCACCTAGTAAGAATGGTGATACATATTGTGTATGTTCAAGTGAGTTGAAACAGAGATCCAATTCATGTGTTACTTTGTGTCACAATTTCATTCAAGTCCATTTTTCCTATGTTGCACTGCTTACAACACTAGACTACTTTATTTGCAAGAGAAAGCCTTTTGTTTTTTGGGACATAAGCACTTGATTGTGATTCTGAGTCCAGAACCCCTTTCATTCATCATTTCCTATTTCTGATCCATGGAATTTGCAGAAATGATCAGAAGGTCGGTGGTTCGAATCCCCGTGATGGAGTGAGCTCCTGTTGTTCTGTTCCACCTCCAGCCATCCTAGCAGTTCGAAAGCACACAGTGCAAGTAGATACCAGTAAATAGGTACCACTCTGGCGGGAAGGTAAACGGTGTTTCCGTGCGCTGCTCTGGTTCGCCAGAAGCGGCTTAGTCATGCTGGCCACATGACCCGGAAGCTGTACACCGGCTCCCTCGGCCAGTAAAGCGAGATGAGCGCCGCAACCCCAGAGTCGTCCGCGACTGGACCTAATGGTCAGGGACCCCTTTACCTTTACCCTTTATATGCTTATGAAACCCATTAGATAGATAACAAGGGCACATAGCTGCAGTTGAAATACCCTATGATTCCTTGATCATTTAGATAGTGGTTGATAGCAACATCTAAATAAAGCTGTCCACCAACTTCTGGTTGATTAAGCATGTCACCTTCTATTTATCAAATAACTACCAGTATTTTTTTTAAAACTAACTAACTAACTAACAAGCAAGCAAGCAAGAAAGCCAAAACTTATTTTGAGTTTTTCTGAGATATTAAGGAAAGTTTAAAGGTTTAGTGTGTACTGCAAAGTGTAATCTGTTATGAAATTGGGCGTTGCCCCAGTGTAGAATTTTCCTTTCATGATTTCCCAGCACGGGGGCCTGATCTTAACCCTTTGCTCACTGCTGCAGTCCTGATCCAGATCTTCCCCTCTCCTGGTCTGTGCTGGCTATTTCTAAAAGTAAAATCCTGCACTTAATGGCAAACCACAAGACTCATTGTAAGTTGGTCCTTGTTTTCTCCTGCTCCAGAGGCTAGGAGCCGAACCAATGGCTTCAAGTTACAAGAAAGCAGATTCTGACTAAACATCAGGAAGAACTGTTTGACAGTGGAACAGACTCCCTTGGGGGGTGGATTCTCCTTCCTTGGAGGATTTTGGATAACAATCTGTCATGGATGCTTTAGTTGAGATTCCTGCATTGATGGGGTTGGACTAAATGGCCCTTGGGTGCCCTGCAACTCTACAATTTTCTTATTCTTATTTTAATAAGCAAACACTACCATTCATTATTGGGTGGAAAGGGCATCTTATTTTTTCCTGTTACAGTGCCACACCCAAACCAAAATAGTTTGAGAAGCAAAGTTTGCCTTTAACCTTCAGCCCCAACAAATGTTCTCCACCTACTATTTAGCTAAAGCTTTTGGCGACTAACCTGTGGCTCTCTAGATGTGGCTGGACTGCAACTCCCATTATTCCTGATCATGCTGGCTGGAGCTGACAACATCTGGGGGCTCCCCGCTTTCAAATGCTGCCCTATGCACACTTGTGTGTAAGCATCTCAGAACTCAATGGGACTTACACCTGAGTAAGCCGGCATATGGCCTGAGCTGCAGAATGGTTAATCTATTGACTTAGTCATAATGAGCTTTCACACCTGCTTCTGAGTTTTGAATGCGTACAGAACCCTAACTGAGAAATATACATAACTGTTCTGTTTCAATGAATATTACTTAATGCACAATAAAGGCTCTAGACACAGAATCACTGTTATAGCAAAGAATTATCACTCATTCCATAGATAAAAAATTACTGAAAGACTAGGGGAAAGTCTGTGTCATGTGGTACTGCCTCTCTAACCACCTGAATTGTGTGGGTCACAGCATAAACAGCAAGAGGAAAAAAATTAAGAAGGCAATGAATATCAGCATAGGGGACCTGAGGTGAGCAGAACATATTAAATGTCAGCATTTTAGTTCCAAGAGGTGTATTTATGGGCTGGGAGCCTGTAATAGGCTTGGCTGTTCTGATGTCTGCCCATTTAATATAGGATAAAGGTCTCTTCGGTGATCAGGCTTGCACTCAGCAGAACATTATCTTTCAGAATTTTAAGCAACCTTCCCTCTAATTTCACCACCACCCACACAATTCGATCTAGTCCTA